GGCTCAGGGATATTTTACGACGCTTCATGTCATGTCACTGTTATTGTGGGAGAGGCCCCGGGGGTCCTGGGCATAGCTATCAACTTTTCCCTTTCCTTGCGAGGAATCCTATTCGGAATAAGGAAATTTCCCTTAAAAAAAGGAAAACGTTGGCAGCTATGGTCCTGGGTGCATAGTGGAATGGTGGCAAACACTTTCAGCAGCCAGCCAGCCAGCCAAGCATCCACAAGACCCCAGTCCAGAGAACTTTAGCCACACTTTAGTCAGATTGAAATCAGTGGGAGACATTTATTACATAATGTTGAAACACAGCTTTCTCTCTTTAGATCTAGGTCTCTGCCTGGCAGCATCTCTCCAGGGTTTCAGACAGAAGGTCTCTCCTAGCCCTACCTGGGGATTCCAGGAATTGAGCCTCAGTGTCAGGAGTGCGTGCAGGAGCCAGGCCCTGTGACCGGTAGGGCTTCGCAGGACTGGGGCTTTCCTAAATTTGTTCTCTAGAGGCAAGGTGTGGCCACACAGGCGAGGCCAATTGGTAACTCACAGTACCTGGTGGCAAGAGCTGGGAAGGGATATAAGGTCAGCATTTCCCGTTGGCTCTTTGCCACAGCAACACGCTTCCTGCCTTGGGCTTCTTGACTCCTTGCTTCCTGACCCTCGGACCCTTGGCTTCTGGACTCCTGGCTTCCGGACTCTCATTCCTGCTCCCACCCCACTGTCTTGCCCCCGGTCCTGATCTCCTCTGCCAGGACTTCACCCGCCTGTAAACTGGACCGTGACACTGGGATACATGCCTGCATAGCAAATACTCTCCCAGTGAGCTCTGGCCTTTCCCAGGCCAGCTTACTTCATCAATTAAAAACAGCACATACAAGAGGATTCTTTCTAAACCAAGAACTTGAAAATGGAGCCTTTGCTCACAGCTTCTGGTTTCTTCATTGACTGTCAGATCCTGACCGCTGGCTGCTCTCACGGGTGTTATTTTCTTGGCTCCTGGCTCATCTCAGACTCAGGGTCTGATGACAACTCAGAAATCTAACCAGCTCTGGCCTGAAGCTTGTGCAATTATTGCTATCTCAAGGTTTCGGTTCTAATTGCATGCCTCTCCTCATGGATCTGTTTGGAGAAACCGGTCTGACAACAGCCATGAATCATCGCTGTCCTTAACATGAGTCTCAGGCTAAAGTTGCTGTTCAGGTGTTGTGATGCGATCTCTTCCCCAGCCAGCTTTACTTTGAAGGTTTGAATTCTGGGAACCACCTCAAGCCACTGATTATATGCTTTGATTAAAGGCACATTAAAACCTCCCACAAACGGGTTGCCACAACCTGTTCCTCCCCAGTCTGCAGGAGAAGAAGAACAAGTGAGCAATGGTATTATTCTTGCCACCATGCAAAGAGCATCCTTTGGAGAGCATGAGGATGAAGATGGTGATTTTCTTAGTCCAGCTCCTATGTTGACCTGTTCAGCTTCTTTGTTGATCATGATATGTAGATGCCTTCTAAGAAGTGTGAAGGAAGCATTGGCTACTGTATAGGAGGGAAACGGGCAGATCTGCTCATTTTGGTTTCTCTGTTTCTTATTTTTCCAGTTGTAAGTTTCAGTTCTCCACATTTCTGGATTGGTTTGATTTTTTTTAAAAGTCCTCGTAAAAACTCACCAGCAAATGTCCTCAATTAAACACGTGTTTCTATGCAATTCTGCCTAATCTTTCTGGTATGCTATTTTCACTTACGTTGAATTTTATGCACACTTCGTTTTATTTATTTATTCATTGCATTTATATCCAGCTTTTTTCAAGGAGCTCAAGGCAGTGTGCCTGGTTCTCCCCTCCTCATTCAGTCCCCACAATAACCCTGAGAGATAGCTGGGTCTGGCCCCAGATCACCCAATGAACTTCATGACTGAGTTGGAATTTGAGCCCTGGACCTCCAGCTCCTACTCCAACACTCTAACCACTACACCTTAGTATATGCGTTTTTGGAAAATTTGGAGAGGTGTGAATTTCCAGGGATGGTTGTACTTCGCTTCACATCCTGTTTTGGAAATTGCAAATTACATAAAGGTAAAGGTAAAGGTACCCCTGCCCGTACGGGCCAGTCTTGCCAGACTCTAGGGTTGTGCGCTCATCTCACTCTATAGGCCGGGAGCCAGTGCTGTCCGGAGACACTTCCGGGTCACGTGGCCAGCGTGACATCGCTGCTCTGGCGAGCCAGAGCCGCACACGGAAACACCGTTTACCTTCCCCGCTAGTAAGCGGTCCCTATTTATCTACTTGCACCCCGGGGGTGCTTTCGAACTGCTAGGTTGGCAGGCGCTGGGACCGAACGACAGGAGCGCACCCCGCCGCAGGGATTCGAACCGCCGACCTTTCGATCGGCAAGTCCTAGGTGCTGAGGCTTTAACCCACAGCGCCACCTGCGTCCCGGTGCAAATTACATAGCACTGCTTTTAAATGTGAACAGAATCAGATTTCTCTCACATCTCCCTAGTCTGCCCAGTGCGGAAGCAGCTGAAGACAACTGAATGAGCATTCTTACTATTGCCTTGGCAGCTGTTTTAGCAATTGTACACAAACAGACACATGCACACACACAAAGAGTCTTGCAGCAGGAAGATTAATTGCTGCACGAAGTTTTTCATCAGAAACATGTGGCCTCAAGTGCCACAATAAATCCGCTGGTCTTCCAAGTGCCATAATAAGACACCTTTTTCATGTATTTGCAATTCCTTTGATTATAATTCCAAAACAATTTTCTAAATTTATGCTTTGGTTGTCAGTCTGATCTCTCGGAGTAGAAGGGCGTACGAGATGGGAAAGGCCTGTGCGGAAGGAACTTGGTCAAGGCAGAAGGGAACCGGGTGGACAGAATGGAAGAGCTGGAGGCATACAAATTTGATAGCAGAGTTTCATCACCATTTGTTTTATCTTTAGAAGGTGTGAAGAACGAAATGCATCCCTGGAAAAGCTACAGCATGCGTAGGCAAACTAAGGCCCAGGGGCCAGATCCGGCCCAATCGCCTTCTAAATCCGGCCCGCAGATGGTCCGGGAATCAGCATGTTTTTACATGAGTAGAATGTGTCCTTTTATTTAAAGTGCATCTCTGGGTTATTTGTGGGGCATAGGAATTCGTTCAATATTTTTTCAAAATATAGTCCACCCCCCCCAAGGTCTGAGGGACAGTGGACCGGCCCCCTGCTGAAAAAGTTTGCTGACCCCTGAGCTACAGGCATAATTTCCAGGCCACAGAAGCAATGTGTTCGCAACTGATAATATCAGCATGCATGTCGTCAGGTGCCATTGGCTACAGGCTGGTTTTATGACTCAATTTGCTTCTATGATTTACTGTTGAGTCTCACTAATTGATTTCTTCATAGAACTGATTGGTTTTAAATGTTTAGGTGTTTGAATGTTTTTTGTGTGATTGTTCATGTTGGATGTTTGAATGCAACTCAGCTTGCAGAAGAGGGGTTCCGCGTGGGATAAAACAGACAGTGGACTCAGCTACATTAGTAAAGAAACAGCAATTTGAATGCGCTATAAACATGCAATACCAGATGGCGCAAGAGAGCAGGAAATTTTAAAATGCGATTTTCCATAGAGATTTTTTTATTTTGTTATAACGATCTAATTTCTTACTTATTTATAGTGGGGGTTTTTCTGTGTCTAGATCCACCCTATATTAGGGCCTCCCAGATTATCTCTGTATCTTCAACCTCTTGAACTGACCTATCTATCTCTTTGATTCCAGTCTGATATGCCTTAGTTTGCATAAGGTTTGACAACTTCTTCCTCATCATCCTCATTGCTATTCATCATTATTAATATTATTTCTCTGGCACTAGCTGTCTCTCATTTCCCTGGGCCCCTACAAAGCTGCACTTCAAAACATATTGGTTCAGTTATTTGATACCAATAAAACAGACGTCATTTGTGACCTGTGCTCAGTTACTCAGTGGAATATACCCATCAGATCTGGGTTGCAGAGTGATGCGTGAAGAGCTTTGGCTTTTTGTTAAAATGTTTTATAAAGGGGCTCAGGACAGTGCCATAACCTTGGCAAAAACTTATACTGCCTGCCATGAATCAAATTTATGCCAAAGGACTTGTGTCTGCTATATACGCCCTACTGTAGGAATGCTAAGTTACATCCTCATATCATGGCTGGCTGGACCACACAGCCCTGGCAGGAATACCCAGCCCAGTGAAAACCAGTTGCCACAGGGAAAGACCTCACCTGGCCCTAAAATACTGCTCTCAGTGGGAAACAAGGTTGTTACTTGGCAGATCTCTTTTGACTATTTAAATGATAGGTTCCCAAAACGAAAATGAGGGAAAAGTCACTCAAGTAGGTTACCTGTTTAAGTATTAGATGTTTCAGTGATTATTGTAAAAAAGAAAAGAAAAGAAAAGAGGGGGGCATTTTGTTCGAATTGTGTAAATGTTTCATTGTTTCTGTTCTCATTTTTAGTAACTGCATCTGATGTTGATGGATACTGTGATTATTTGCAGTTTCCTGAGACTGTAATGCATTTCTTTGTCTTCCAGTAAAGTAGGCTAGATAAATAAGATATTACTATTATTATTACTATTATTACTATTATTATTATTTAATTGCTTTCCAAATGAAAAGTGAGCAATGAGTCCATAAAGTACACAAAACGTAAAACCTGTTAACAGCAAATGCACCAAGGAAGTATGACAAAAGACAGATTTTTTACCTAAGAAGTGCTCATCCAACCATACTTTTTACAGCTGCAGTTGATGCACCAGGTAAACATCAACCAAATGTGTCAGCTGTCATCTTTAAATTAATTCGTAACTTTAATCGCTCCTAGACTGATATTCAGGCGAGGGAGGACTTTCATAAACTTTCCATAAAACAATTTTCCGAACATGTTACGACGCAGGAAAAGTGCCTGCCTGGAGCTGTTCAGAGACGGGATCTGAAATCCGCGTGGGGAGGGGGGGGGAAGGCCCTGAAATTCAGGCACAGCAAATGAGATGCACTCACACCCACGGGACAGAGTGCAAGGTGCCCGACTTGTGCCTCTCTGCAACTCAGAGACATGGAAATGCCGGCACTAAGTTCTATCTTCCTCCTCCTCGTCTTCTGTCTCCTGATTGTCCAGTTTGCGAAGCTGCAATGGAGAAAACGACAATTCCCTCCAGGACCAATGCCTCTCCCCTTTATCGGATGCCTATGGCAGGTGAAGTTTTTCAACGTCACTCGTGAGAGCCTGACCAAGGTATCTGTTTCCAGCAGTTTGATTGGCCGACAGGATAGAGGAATGGGCAGTAGCAAAGGGAGCGTAATGGCCAGTGGGTTGATAAGAGGAGATTGATAGGAGAAGGGTGGTCAAGCTCAGTGGTCAATTATCCGTTGTTCATGCAGATGGTCCTTGGTTCAATCCCCAGCATCTGATGGTAGTCTTCTCTCTCTAAAACCCTAAAAATCACCTGCAGGTCACTATGGACAAGTCACTGGATGCACCAATAGTCTGACTCATCTTAGGGCTTCTTCTGATGCTCTAGGTTTTGGAACTTTGGATATGCTAAAGTCTTGGTTGTCAAATGATTTTTTAATTCTGGGGTCTCTGTGGCCACAGCCCCCTCATTTTCAAATTAGGGTATTGGCCGTCTTTAGGATTATTACTTTTTTGGGGGGGGGTTGGTCAGTGTGCTTTGTTAGAAGTCTCTGCGTTTTAAAATTTGGAAATTTAGAAACAAATTCTTGCTACAGCGCATCATAAAAGCAATTATACCTTCTGGATTCATGCTCAAGTTGGAATTCTGTATTCTTTATCTGTCAGAAGAAGGCTGATCAATCAAAACATGTATGATACTGGCTTTGTAGAATGTTTGTTTTCATGAGATTCTGCATGTTATTTCCAGTTTGTCAGTGGCGTAGCATATGAAGATGAATCTTTCGGCCATTAGGCTAGGATACTGATTTTATTAAGTTAGAATCTTAAAGTTATATTGTGCATGCCATAGATTTATATTTTACTTATAGGCTACCTTGACTTTTCTTTCTATCCATAAAGTCCATAAAGTATGTTTAGCCTGGAAAAGAGGACAGTGAGAGGAGATATGATAGCTATCTTCAAATATATTAAGGGCTGTCACACGGAGGAGGGAGGAAGCTTGTTTTCTCCTGCTCTGGAGGGCAGGACTTGAACCAATGGCTTCAAGTTACAAGAAAGGAGATTCTGACTAAACGTTTGGCAAAAACTTTCAGACAGTGAGTGCTGTAGAAATGTGGAGGGTTGCATTTTAGACTGAGAAAGTGAGAAACTGAGAGATGCCCAAACTCTCAGATTCACCCATCACTGTCTGCCAATGAGGTTCAGCCCATCTCCTCTTTATAGCCGATTGCAATGTGAAGCAATCAGTAAGGTTTATCGAGCCCCTTGTGAGCCACCGTACATGGCTCTGATGGTTTTAGAAGGTTGCAAGGAGGGCAAAGTGGCCTCACTCTCCCCAGGGAGCCCTGCCAGGCACCAACCTTGCCATCGTTTAGTCACCAAGCAAAGACCTCTTTGTTTTCCACGCCAGCGATATAATACTGTATTGCTGTTTTTAATGTGTTTAGATGGTTTTGTTATGGTATTTCTAGACACTTCGCTGCAAAACCACCCCCCAAAAAAACTTTGAAGCTTTTAAAATTGGGAAGCGATGCATGAATTTAATGAACTTAGCCCAACCCAAAATTAAGAACAGAATTGCTCAAAGGTTGGGTGTGGTTTTTATTTGCCTGAGCTTCCCTGGTGTTTTCCTACAGGTGGCAAAATCCTATGGGGACATCTATACCGTATGGTTTGGTCCTCACCCTGTGGTAGTTCTGGATGGGTTCCAAGCTGTGAAAGACGGTCTCACCACCCACCCAGAAGATGTTGTTGGCCGGCCAGTCGTCCCGTTTTTCAGAGCTCTGGCAAACAATAAAGGTAAGGCTGTTTGTCTCACTTACGTAGGAACCACTGGGTCATGTTGTTCCCATAGCAGAATTGAAGGAGTGGCTCTGTGGTTTTAGTGGAGTTCCTCTTTAGTACACTTTGGTTGTAAAGTGCTCAAAAACCTATTGCTTATGAAATCAACTGGCTGCTTCACACGGTGCAAATCTTGGCTTAGCAAGACCCCACAAGCTCCTCGGTTTCCAGAGAGAGGGGCTTGCAGCTCCTCCCAGATCCCTTTTGCATTATATTTGGGGAAACTGTTTTGCAAAGATTTCCACCCAAATGCTGATGAATTTTCGCAAGGACTTAATTCCGATCCCCTCCCACAAATTGATGCGCAAGGCAGCTTATGGCATGAAATATCATGTATGATCATGACAGAATTAGTCATAATAAATAAAATGTATTTTGCATAAATCATAAGATATAAAACAAAGATACAAAAAAAAAAAATCAATAAGAGCAACAACCTGCCCTCCCACACCCAAGCAATACCCAGCTCAAGTGTCTGTTCATCAGCTTCAGTTTTTGTAGCTGGAGTCAGTCCATCCACCCGTCAGTCCTTCAGGGCTCCGCCCTCCCAGCACAGATGGAAGGAGGTCTTCCAGGGCTCACAGCCAATATGCTCTTTGGCTTCTTTAGCAGCCTCAGCTTTTGTAGCTGGAGTCAGGGTCTATGCTAATCAAAGTCCTGGCACTGGAAACAGGGCTTTGGTGGCAACCTCCTGGCATAGTTCCGAAGGGTTTGGATTCTTTGCTCTGAATGCAAATAATGGGTCACTGCAGCAGTCCACAGCTGACTTTCAATGCCTCCAGGTATCTTGCTGTCAACGGGCAGTACATGGAAGCACCAGAGGAAGTTCTCGCTGATGACTCTGAAGACATTGGGGCTGGGGAAGAGGACGTTGGAGTACCAGATCCAAGATGAAGCTTATCACCTGGTGGAGAACTTTAAGAGCACTAAAGGTACAGCACAGCTCAGGGTTGGAGGGAGAATGTGCCCTTTAATTTATTTTCCAGTCCAGAACCCTGTGCTCTCATTAATGCTCTCATTAATTTCAGCAAGCTAAATCTAAGAGCAACCTCAGGAAGTTTTACGGTTCCTCTTAGTTTTGATTGCATCTTAGATGGAACATGCATTTATTCACGTTTTATGTCTGTGCTAATAGGCATCTGATTTGACCAATGGTTGCAAGCCATAAATACTGATTGCACTGGATTCCAGTTTTCACCTGCTTTCTTCTCCTGTTCTCAAAGAGGAGACAAAAACACCAAACAAAATACCTTTGGCTGGGGACCAAGGGAAAACCAGCAAGTTTTTGGAATTGCGCAGCCAATATACTTTTTCCAAACCTTGTATGAAGAACTGCAATAGGTGCTTGCAGAGCTTTTTTTTAATTCACAATTTAGATTCACAAAATGTTTAGGGCAGGGATCGGCAAGGTTTACCTTGCCTGGGCCGGTTCACTCCAGCAGAAATCCCTCCATGGGCCGGATCGCGTGCATGGCCACGATTTCCGGCATCTGCGTCTGTGCAGATGCAATTTCTGGCACTGTGGAAACGAGTCCCCGTGCTGCGCTGCGCCGGTTTAGCGCAGCACGCGGAGACTTGCCGAGTGGGTGGCTCGGTTTGGGGGTGGCTCGTGGGTCAGTTAAACAATCCCTGTGGGCTGCTTGTGGCCCATGGGCCTTAGGTTGTCTACTCCTGGTTTAGGGATATGCCTACCCCAGCATCCCCCCAGAAAAAAAAGAACTGGATACCTGCATTTATTACAATTATAGCCAAGCTTCCTTCCAAGGACCTCAAGGCAGGATACACTGATCTTCCTTACCCCCAACCATTTTTACCTTCACAACAACCCTGTGAGGCAGGTTAGGGTGAGAGAGAGTGATATATGAAAGTCAAGGCTGAGTAGGTTGGCTGAGTCTGGATCTATTAAATCTTAGTTTCATACTCTAACTGCTGCCCCATGCTGGCTCTTCAGATCTGCATCCTGGGTTAGCTGAGTGCAGAAGCCATGGCTGATTCCTCAGATTAAACCAGAAAAGTGTCCCAATGTCTCTGTTGCCATATTACCCAATGAGAGAATTTCAGCATCAAATTATTTTGGTCTTGCAAGGCAATTAAGGTATCCCAGGAATCAAACGATGCTGCTTCACATTGAAATAATAAGCATGGGTGAGATGAGAACTTCTTGATATCTCAGACTTGTAACATGAAAGAAACGCTTCTCTTTTACTTCTGAATTTAAGTTTTCCACAGTTCTGAAATCACATCATGGCCCACACTGGGGCTTTTCTTTTGAAGCATCTCCCACACCACCTGTTGCCAACACACACTTTGGCTATTTTTGTTTATGGTTACATCTCACCCAAAAATAATATATTTATCAAGACCAGCCAAAAAATTACAAAATAGCCAGCTGTGTAGGAATTATCTTGGGGTCAGATCCTGCATGGCTGGCTGAGTATTTTGTAACTTTTGGGCTGGCTTATTGAGTTGTTTTTGTTTTTATTATGTATTTTGTATATTTTTTGATTTTGTGGTGTAGCTACCCTGAGACCTGCGGGTATAGGGCAGTTTACAAATTTAATTAATTAATTAATTAATTAATTAATTAATTAATAATGTCATGGATTTTTGTGTTTTTATCTTGTAAACTGCCCTGTGATGCTTTGATGAAAGGCTGTATAGAAATTTAATCAACAACAACAACAACAATAATAATAACGAATAAGAACAAATAAATTTTCCTAAAGCAGCCCCTGCCCCACCCTGGACAAAAACCAAACAAAAAACAACTCATCCAACAACAGGAAACAAAGTGTGGTGGAAATATGAAGAAACTAAAAGATGGAGTTCTTACAACTGTATAACTTGGGCACCTGATTGATTAGGCATATATTGGGTAAGGCGATCTCTCAGGTGCCAAGTTGTTAAGGGCTTTATATACTAATGGAAACACTTGTCTGGGTAGCAAATGAGCAGCCATTGCATGTCTCTGAGTACGGATATCATCTGCTGACAAGACCTTGCTCCTGGCAGCAATTGTGTCGCAGCATTCATACGTTGAACTAACCAATGCATGAACTGCTTTGGCCAAGCTTTTCCAGTCCAGGAACAGTCATAACTGACCTACACATTTCAGTTGGTAAAAGGCATTTCTAGCCACGACAACTATCTGAGCCTCCCGTGACCAAGCTGGATCCAGAAGCTCGCTGGGACTCATGGGAATTGTAGTCCCAATCATCTGGAGGACACCTGGGGGGCAAAAGTTGGTTGTCGCTTCTTCTGCTACATTGACAGGGTTGGTTCACAAATGGGCACTTGATGATTCCATTTGCAGGGAAACCCATGAATCCGTCCTTCGCTCTGACCCTCGCTGTTTCCAACGTGATTTGCGCCGTGGTGTTTGGGCATCGCTTCTCTACCGAGGACAAGAAATTTCACGAGCTCCTGGAAGCAATGGAGGCCATTTTCAAATTTGCTGGCAGTCTCGGTCACAATGTAAGCAAGCCACTATTTTGCTTTGCTTTTCAATATTTCCTTTCCCGAAAGGAACAGCAGTAAAAGGTTTCACTTTTGCTAGACAGTTTGTGGTGAGGGAAGAATTTCCTTAGAAAATAAATACAATCATATTTATTATGATATTTAACAATTACAATATCCCCCAACAATTATGATAATTAAGTTTGAAGGCCCAAGGAGTCCAGAAAGTTTTTGGTTTTTTTAAATGCATGTAAGTGAACTTGAAGATGAGCTAGAAATCTTTCAAAGTTCTACCCCAAACCAAACTTAATTCATGTTCTGTTCACATGTCAATTATGGGAAGTATTTTCTGGTGCAATTCAGAAATTATTGAACTATTTCATACCCTTCAAGTGTCCTGATAAAACCGGGACACCCCACTTTTTCTCATGAGAGCATGGTGCCCATTTTGGGCACTGCAATCTCAGGGCCACGCTCTCGCATGGGTCACATGACTTGCCCTGGAAGACCTGCACCCGGTTTTTTGCCTTGATGTGTTGGAGGGTATCCTATTTCAGCCTACTACCTAAAAGGCCTTCTGAAGCAGCTGTGCCTCAACCAGCCCTATAGTTGAAAGAGTGTGGCAGGCCTCTCTAGGGAGGGATTTCCACTGAAGGCTCAGCTCCTTGTAGCTGTCACCTAAGCCTCTTCAGGGCTTTCCCAGATGACCTGAACATTGCTTGGGAAGGTTCATATAGAGATAAGCGATCCCATGGTTGCCTTGGACATGAAGAAGCTGCCTCACACTGAGTCAGACCTCGGTTCCAGCTAGTATCGTCCACACCAACTCTCCAGGGTTGCAGATGTGGAGACATTGCCAGACCTACCTGGAGATGACAAGGATTGAACCTGTCCCCTTCTGTGCACAGGACAGGTGCTCTAATACTGCGCAGCAACTTTCTCCGCACCTCCATCGGTTCATGTCTCTTTCCCCAGATTTATAATGTCATACCCTGGCTTATGAAGTGTATCCCAGGGCCTCACAAGAAGGCCTTGACCGCCCGAGACTTTGTGTGTTCGTTCATAAGGAAGGAGATCAACAAGCACCAGATTGCAGGACTGCCAGATGACCCTCAAGATTTCATTTATAGTTACCTTGCTCAGATAGAGAAAGTAAGTAGCTTCTTTGTTCTTGACCAGAACTGCTCAGGATGTGCTGTCCTCATCCTCTTCTCCATAATTTGAGCAATTGCTGCATCCCCAATTAGAATTTGTATTTTTCTTCCTGCTGGGAAATGCTCCTTTATGAATGTTTAGCTGCAAGCCCTTGGAAATTTACAGCTGTAAGGGTGACATTAGGTGCGTCCGTTTTTCTATTTCTTCTCTTCTGCAGACGAAAGACCAGCCCAAACCAGCCTACGATGAAAGTAACATGATCCAGTGTATATTTGACCTCTTCTTGGGTGGAACAGAGACATCCAGCACCACTCTCTACTGGGGAGTTCTGTATATGGTGCTTTATCCAGACATCCAAGGTGAGATGATGTAACGCTGCACCACTTTCGAATTGTGCAAATGATGTTCAACTGCTGCGTCTTCTGAATGACGCGGAAGAAAACAAAACGTTGTCTTTCATGCCAACCAACCGTTGTGTTGGGATGAATTTTCTAAAAAGTTTTGCATGCGCTTTTTTGTGTGTGTAAATAAATGAATGTGTTTGGATTCCACTCAGCGAAAATCCAGAAGGAGATTGACGCAGTTGTGGCTCCCGGTCAAATGATCAGCGGCGAGGATCGCAAGAAGCTGCCCTACACCAATGCCGTGATCCATGAGGTCCAGCGCTTCAGCAACATCATCGCAGTTGGGTTGCCCAGGTTATGTGTGAAGGACACCATGATTCGACAGTTTACCATTAAGAGGGTAAGTGAACCTCCACTGCCCACATCCCCCGCTTCCTTCAAATGTCTAAGAAAATGCAGCAGAGGTTTATCAGATACCACTTTTAGTTCTACCATCAAAGGAAAGCTGGCCATGTTTCTTATGGGGCAGGAAATGACATTCTGCCCACCGTACATCTAAAGCACATGACTTCCCCCAGAGAATCAGGGGAACTGTAGTTTACCCACAATGAAGCTACAGCCCCCCGCACCCTCAATAAACTGCAGTGCGCAGAATTCTGTGGGGGAAGCCATCGTCACTAAATGTGCTGTACAAGTATGGTGTCCACACAGCCTTTGTGTCTTTCCCCATCGCAGAAGATGTTGCACCATCCCTGAGAGGTGAAGATGCTCAGAGCACTATCTCTGGCCAACAAGAGGCCAATTGAATCTCTCTTTGCCAGAGCCCTCTGCTTCTCCAGTTTGGTAGCGAATCATGCAATTATTTGAGAGAGGGGTTTTACTGAACTGAGAGCTGAGTGTATGGTCTGCTTCCCTGGAGCAAGGCAGGACTCAATCTCTGACTCTTTTTCCCCAGGGCACCATGATCTTTCCAAACATGGCTTCTGCCTTGTACGATCCCAAAGAATGGGCGACGCCTGAAAGCTTCAACCCCAACCACTTCCTTGACAAGGACGGAAATTTCGTTTGTCCAGAAGCCTTCATTCCATTTTCGTTAGGTAGATGAAAAGGCTGGAGACAAAATCTTGGTGGTTTCCTTGAGGGTTTTGCTTTGCATTGTTGGGAACCGAAAGACATAGCACACCTAAGGCTGCCCAAGGCATATATGAAGAACATAAGAACATAAGAAGAGCTTTGCTTGATCAGGCCAATGGCCCATCTAGTCCAGGATTCTGTTCTCACAGTGGCCAACCAGACGCCTGTGAGATGCCTTCAAGCAGTGAGGCGTTCTCAAAGTAAAGGAAGGATTGAACTCTGATTAATAAAAATACACACAGAGGCTTGAACCAGCAAGACTCTGGGAAGGGTGCGTAACCAATCACGTCGGGGTCACCAGATGTAGGAATGAAAATCACGGCAGACGAGAGGCAGGTGTCACATGAGGCGTCTGCCGGGGCAAGCCCTGGGAACTCTCTTTTATTGAATATTACAAACATTGCCACAGGTGTGCTTGTGGCTGATTGGTTGATACAAACACAAAGAAACTTGTTGCTGATTGGTTAACATAAGTAGAAGGCGGGAATTACATGTGAGAGGTGGGAATTACATGTGAACATTAATCACCGATAGATTAAAGGCTGGGAAACGAGGTTGGAACTAGACAGGCATGAAACCTCCTAATTAAATTATAACTAAAGATTGATATAGCATAAAACAATTACTAATGATTGATCATAACATGAAAGAATATAATAATCGAGTTCCGTAGATGTGGTCAGCTATGCATTGAGAACAGGTCATCATGAACTTAAGATGAACTGAGCAATGAGGGCATGTCTTGGTATTTGGAACAGGTTTGTACAGTGTGTGCAGAAGCAGAGAAAAGATTATAAGCGAGACTTCCCAGAATGCCAGAGAAAAGAAGCAATACTTCCCATAGCAAGACTTCCCATAAGGCCACAGTTATGTGCAGAAAGAGAACTTATGTGCAGAAAGAGAACTTCCCTTCAGCGTATAATAATCTCTCCCTCCACCCTCCGGTCCAGGTCGTTTTATTCACAAAAGAACTTTTACAGAGTGTTCGTAAGAACCAATCAGATTTCTTCTGAGCATTTCAACAAACCCCACGTGGGGACAAAGTTAAACTACCAAAACTAATTAAGCACACATATTTCTGGGGTAAACAAAACAGAACTACAAAGGAGTGCATTTGGCAACCCCGGGAGGTGATAAACAAGCAATATACATGATAAGAAGGATGGACAGGAGGACAGCGATCATTAGCACCTTTATGTGAAACCTGTTTCCTGGCCCTAAGATTAACATCCTAAGATTAACATATCAGAAAAGCTACATCAAAGAAACTTCCGACTGTCTTTGATGACCCAGGATGCCTGCCTGGCGAAGCAACTGGGTTGTGTACGCGACTTGTCAAGAAAGAGAAATGGAACAGAGATGCAGAGGTGTGGATTGATCAAGAATCATATCAAAATAGTTTAAACCCAGTCAACGCAATGCTTTCATTGCTGACACAGATGGCTTACTCTATATTTGTTATAATTCCTCATAGCAATCCCACCTGATCACTACAAAGCAGGTTTCAAACACAAGAGCCCTGTCCTCTTCCATGGTTTCCAGCAACTGGTATTTGGAAGCATTGCTGCCTCTCCAGCTGTGGAGATAAGCTACCATGGCTAGTAGGAATACATATTTTCTTAGGAGGGGCTCATTTTCATAGAAACACGGGGGCTGCCTTGCCTACCCTGGCGGTGTCTTTCCAGGGTTTCAGATGTGGGGCAGGGAAGGAGGACCTTCTAAGCCAGGCATAGGCAAACTCGGCCCTCCAGATGTTTTGGGACTACAACTCCCATCATCCCTAGCTAACAGGACCAGTGGTCAGGGATGATGGGAGTTGTAGTCCCAAAACACCTGGAGGGCCGAGTTTGCCTATGCCTGTTCTAAGCCATTCCTGGAGATGTTCCACCACTGGCTCAGGTCAGCAGATTTCCCCATGGGAATCCAGTTTGCCCCTCTAGGCTCCCAATGCATCTTCATGCCCTGGGCTGAGCCTGGAGTCTTCACACTAATGAGCGCTTAGCCTCAGGCCCTCAGCAGCAGCAGAGGGAGGTGGGGTTTTTGTGTGTCAATAATGAGCAAAAGTGTTGTGAAAGATCTAGATATTATTTTTCTAAGAAAGGTATGCCCTGCTTTTCAACTTAAGAGTTCTCCAAATGGCAATGGATGTAAATTTATTGGCACCTAGTTGGCCACTGTGAGAACAGACTAGATGGGTCCCCTTTTCCTGATCCAACAGCGGAGCTCTCCTTATGTCCTTACGGTGCCCAGCCTGACTTCATCTCTCTCCTTCTCCTACAGGGCAGCGAGTGTGCTTGGGAGATCACCTGGCCAAGACGGAGATGTTTCTTTTCTTCTCCAACCTCCTGCAGGCGTTCACTTTCCACTTGGCGGAAGGGACGAAAGATGTCAACACAGAGCCTGTTTTGGGGGGCACTTTGCAGCCTCACTACTTTGAGATCTGCGCTATCCCTCGATAGACCCGGCATCTCATGTCTTTGGAAATCTGTTTAGGAAAAGTTGCAAGGTGGAAACATGCTGTACTGTTAACCCAAAGCCGCCGTCTTCTGGTGTGGGGTTGCGTAGGTACTTCAGAGTCCTGAGAATCAAAACTTTTGTCGTGAGAAAAGGAATAAGTTTCTAGACCTCCTGACTGCAAAGGAAAAGCCTGAAAATACACAACAATACCTGTGCATAAGGTCTGAGTGCAGTGGTTCCCAAAGTGGGCAATATCACCCCACAGGGGCAGGGGCATTACTGGGGGGGGGGCAGCTAAGAGACTTTGAAAAGCTGGGGTCACTGGGCCAAGTTCTTCCGTTTTGTAGAATTAATTAGATGAAACATTTTAAACTGGATTTTGAATACACGTGAAGATGTTACTATTTTGAATTTTATTGTGTTATTATCTTCCTTAGCGGGTTTGTCAAACCGCTATAATGAATAATCCTTTTTAGAGGGTGGGGCCAGATAGGGCATTGGGGATGAGTTTATGGAACCAAAAAGGTGGGTGTCACTGTCCAGAAACATTTGGGGAATGACTGGTCTAAGGTATGACTTCAACATTACGCAGCTCTTTTTATTCTTGTCTTTCAGCCATAGGCACCCTAACTGGGCATTGTCTCTCTCTTCTGACCTTACCTGGCATCATGTCCAGCTTCCATGAACACTGCTCCAGCCTTCTATTCAAAAAGGTGCAGAAAACACCCAGAAGGATGGAAGATCTTAATCAGTTAAAAATTTCCTCCTGTGTCGCTTAGTTTTCTGCTTTGCTTTCTTTTTTCCATAGAGAATTATTTTCCTACTCTGTTCTACTGCTGCATGCTGCAGAGCAGTCGTATCTGGGACAGACTTGTTTCTGTTCATGCTCTGCTGAGGTCTCTTGGCAACACCAGTTCATTAACACCAAGTCATGGCTCACAACCATTTTCCTCTTCTTCCCCATAGTTAGGCCAGCCACAAGATAATTTTTGCTGGTGTTAGTGTGGGTGTGTTAAAAGCATTGCCTCTGAATACCAGTTGCTAGGAATCACAAGGGAGAGAACACACCCTTTAAATTAATACTATTTTACTTTCATTTGATTGCAACCCCTTGTTTTTCTCTAACCTTCTTCATCTTGAAACATGAAGAACTAAGTTCTCCCCGCCAAGGAGAGAAGTGCTTTCAACCACCCCCACCTTTTTTTGAAGAATAGTCTTGAATCAGAATTCCAGAGTTAGAACCTTTAGGCCTATGTATGTCAGCACAGGGCGGGGGAACCTGTGGTGCCCCCTGTAGTGATCAGGTGGGATTGCTATGAGGAATTATAACAAATATAGAGTAAGCCATCTGTGTCAGCAATGAAACATTGCGTTGACTGGGTTTAAACTATTTTGATATGATTCCTGATCAATCCACACCTCTGCATCCCTGTTCCATTTCTCTTTCTTGATAAGCCACGTGCTGCAGGCAGGCATCCTGGGTCATCAAAGACAGTGGGCAGTTTCTTTGATGTAGCTTTTCTGATGTGTTAATCTTAGGATGTTAATCTTAGGGCCAGGAAACAGGTTTCACATAAAGGTGATAATGATCACTGTCCTCCTGGCCATCCTTCTTATCATGTGTATTGCTTGTTTATCACCTCAGGGGTTGTCAAATGCACTCCTTTGTAGATCTGTTTTATTTACCCCATGCTTAATTAGTTTTGGTAGTTTAACTTTGTCCCCACGTGGGGTTTGTTGAAATGCTCAGAAGAAATCTGATTGGTTCTTACGAACACTCTGTAAAAAGTTCTTTTGTGAATAAAACGACCTGGGCTGGAGGGTGGAGGGAGAGATTATTATACGCACCCTTCCCAGAGTCTTGCTGGTTCAAGCCTCTGTGTGTATTCTTATTAATCAGAGTTCAACCCTTCCTTTGCTTTGGGAACGCCTCACACACACCCCCAGAGGACACTGGGCTCCTGCTCCCATCACCCTTGACCATCGGCCCTGCTGGCTGGGGCTGATGGGAGCTGGGAGTCCAGCAATTTCAGAGGTGCCACTGGTTCCAAGTTCCTGGCCCTTCCCCCCTAGCCCACCCAGTTCCTTGCCCCATCTGAAGCAGAACATTGGAGCTCTCCAGGGTGCTGAACTCTTGCTGCTCAACACAGGGCAGTGGAACCTGAAATTACTGGACTAAAGTTCCCATCGTCCCCAACTATTGACCCTGCTTGCTGAGGCTGATGGGAGTTGAAGTCCAGCAACATTGGGATGGTCACCATACCCCTCATCTCAAATTATCTCCTAAATGCAGATGTGTGCACACAGACAAGCACTTTCTATGCTGAAGTAATCCACCATACAGTTTACAATAATTGGTCTGCCATTAGAACTGGTATACTTTTGGGAGGATTGCAGCATGTGGTGTGTGTTTGAATGGAATGTGATTTTTTGAAAAGAAGGCCAGGTTACTGGATAAATCAGAGAATGAAAGCCATGGGACATAGAAGTACATAAGTTATTAGGTCAGTGGTTTTACTTTCTGGGAACACTTTCCAAGTGAATTTGTCTCCTGAGATTTCCAAGGTTGCAGAAGATTTTGAGATGCATTCATGAGTGCACTTTTTGTTCCCATAAGGCTTTGGGCGCTTCATGCTGGCTGGGGCTGATGGAAGCTGGGCTCCCAAAACATCTGGGATGCCATAGGCTCCATGCTCTTGATCTTAGAGGATGGATGGGAGAGGAAATCACAATGCTGGATTTTCAGCCCCTGGTTTCTAAGAGGTCATTGTATTTCATTTTATTTTTTACATGGGGTTACAGTCCTAAGTCACTGGTTCCATCAGGGCAAGGATTTCTCCTTGCAAAATGGAAGATTTCCCCCTTCTTCAAACCCTGTGTGTCTCCTAAATCTGTTCTGGAGTTTTCACCAAAGCTTTAAAGCAAATGTTGGGATGGCGCAAGTCATGAAAATGGATATTTTGGGGGTACATACAGAGGCACGAGAACAAACATGCATATGAATTTTTTATGCATACTCTTACAAAAATTGCAAACGGCTGTGGAACTGGGGCAGACTGACATTATGACCGGAAAATTGAGAAACTGAGAGATAGAAGATAGCCCCCTCCCCATCTAAGCTTACAGAAATTGCTTTTGTTCCAACTTCACAACCAAAATATTAGATAACAGCAAACTGAACACTAGCTCAGGTTTCGGTCTTGCCCCTTCCCCCAGACATCTGGTTAATTATTGGGCTTTTATTTTTTTACACTGCCTTACTTTACTGTGTTCATTTGTTCTTTTGTTCCCCTGTTGATTACAAGAAGGACCTTTTGTTTTTGTAGAAATGCAAAAGTACTCCAGAGGTTTTTGTATGTCCAGATGGCAAATGAAAGTTCTTGGTGACGTCATGGCTTCTCAGCTCCGTGAACAACTGGCCTCTGTTCCAAGGTGTCCAGTAACGTATTGAATCATTTCGTTTTATCATTAAGTCCCGGAGATGCTTCCCAAAGCATTCAGCTGCCACAATAAGTAACTGCTTGCATGAGCAGAACAACCTCCACCTGTGCAATGGGGATTCCCTGCTCTTCCCCCAAATACACTGCCCCCTAAATATACAGTGGTACCTCAGGTTAAGTACTTAATTCGTTCCGGAGGTCTGTACTTAACCTGAAAATGTTCTTAACCTGAAGCACCACTTTAGCTAATGGGGCCTCCTGCTGCCGCCGCACCGCCGGAACACAATTTCTGTTCTCATCCTGAAGCACTATTTCTGGCTTAGTGGAGTGTGTAACCTGAAGTGTATGTAACCTGAAGCGTATGTAACCCGAGGTACCACTGTATTCAAGTTTTCCCACCCCAACCTTTCAGAACAGACCTGAGGGTGCTGCAGGGTGTCACATGGGGGGAGAGAAGATGGGAGGGAGTCCCATTTTGCAAGTGGAAGTCTTCTGAGTTGCTCAACTATTTAGTAGAATACTGCTCAAAGTGTCCCCTCCAATGCCAGAGCAAGAGCTCCACTGAGGTTATATTAATATTATGCGGTTTCCCAACAGAAATTAAACACACACACACACACACACACACACACACACACCTCTCTTAACTTACATTTAAATAGTAGATCATTTTCTCTCCTAAGACCTCATATAGCAATATAAAATAAATTATAATCAACAGAATGCATATGTTCAGGTAGGTAGCTGTGTTGGTCTGACACAGTCAAAATAAATTAAAAAATTGTCCAGTAGCACCTTAGAGACCAGCTAAGTTTGTTCTGGGTATAAGATTTCGTGTGCATGCACACTTCTTCAGATGCACTGAAACAGAAGTCACCAGACCCTTATATAATGCATATGTAACATACATTGATGTTCTCATCTTGTTTTCATTTCATTCATTTTTTAAAATAGTTTTTATTGAGTTCTGCAGATTTTATATTCGTCACAATCAATGTTTTTTAAAAAAATGATATATAAACCCCTACCCCCCCACTTCCCCCAATCTTCTGATTCATTATATATTTACTTCTCCTGCCTGTTTTCTTCTACTTTCATTTTATAATCTTTTAATTAAATATTGTTATAATCTTACCAGTTTTGTATCATATTTTCCACATTACTTCTTACCCTTTGTTATTTCCCCATTATTACAACTTAACTTTTTTTGCTTGTTTTCTTAATTGGAAGTGTTTACTCAAACCCTGATAGTGAGTCCACTTCTTTCATTTCGTTCATTTATCCAGTTGGGTGATTGTTCCAAACCACCCTGTGGCTTGTACAAAGGGCGGTTTATAAAAGTCAAACATGGAAAAAAGAATGCATAAAATAACACAGTCCCTGAAGTACACAACGAGGTAGAACAACCTACAAAACAGTGATTTATTAAAAGCAGCAGCAGCAGCAGCAGCAACCAGCTGATTTCTCCAACCATGTATTTTCTCCTCCTAATGCCCACTGAAAAAAGGCGAGTCTTAACCAGCTGCCCAAACCCATAAACCCACTTCCATAGAAAGGGAATTCCAAATGGGAGAAGCCACCACTGAAAAGGCCCCTCCCTTCCTGGTCCCCATACCACATCTTTCATCCAGCATAGGGACCATGAAGAGGGACTCCCCTGATGAAGTAAAGCAGTAGTTTCACAATGATAAGATTGGTTTTTGCTACCCTTTTTGGCTCTAGGATGTTAAATGAAACTCATGGCCCCAATGTGAAAATCTGGGGAAAGCAGGCAGTTGGGTGAACGTTGTAGTGATCAGGTGGGATTGCTATGAGGAATTATAACAGATATAGAGTAAGCCATCTGTGTCAGCAATGAAAGCATTGCGTTGACTGGGTTTAAACTATTTTGATATGATTCTTGATCAATCCACACCTCTGCATCCCTGTCCCATTTCTCTTTCTTCACAAGTCACGTACACAGCCAGGCAGGCATCCTGGGTCATCAAAGACAGTGGGCAAGTTTCTTTGAAGTAGCCTTTCTGATATGTTAATCCTAGGATGTTAATCTTAGGGACAGGAAACAGGTTTCACAAGGTGATAATGATCGCTGTCCTCCTGGCCATCCTTCTTATCATGTGTATTGCTTGTTTATCACCTCCCGGGGTTGTCAAATGCACTCCTTTGTAGTTCTGTTTTATTTACCCCATGCTTAATTGGTTTTGGTAGTTTAACTTTGTCCCCACGTGGGGTTTGTTGAAATGCTCAGAAGAAATCTGATTGGTTCTTACGAACACTCTGTAAAAAAGTTCTTTTGTGAATAAAACGACCTGGGCCGAGGGGGGCTGGAGACACAGAGAGAGACTATCATTTGCACCCTTCCCAGAGTCTTGCTGGTTCAAGCCTCTGTGTGTATTCTTATTCATCAGAGTTCAATCCTTCCTTTACTTTGGGAACGCCTCAAACATGATACTGGCAAGGCACCTACACTGGCAAGGAACCAATCCTGTATAGCAGGTCAGTATTATTACTACAATACAGACAGGGGCTCAGGCTGAGAGGGTGGTTTGCCAATGAACCAGCCCATGAACGATGAAGTTTGAGCCAGAAAATTGATATGCGTGGGGCTACAATTTGTGCGAAACCTGAGGTGCTTTCTGGGAAAGCTGCACTCATGCTTGTCCTTCATGTGAAAGAGCTGTATCTTTCTGTAGCCTGCAAGGACCAGTTTCATTATATGCTAGGTTCTTCATCAATACATGGCCGACACATGATTGAAATGATTTGGTTTATTCCTTATGGCAATTAGGGAAAAGAGCCATGGTAGATCAACTGCTCGGCATGCAGAAGGTCCCAGTTGAAAACAAGTGTTGAATTGTATTGCAAATAAATTAGCAGTTGGAAGACATTCACATCTAGAAGATCACTGTTGAGTTTGGTTAGAAAGCCATGTACCCACAAACTGGGTTTCCACAGAGGAGTTCCTGTTCAGCAACATCAGATTTCTTAACCAATGCAGTTGAGTGTTCTCCATCAGGATTCATGGGAAAGTAGCTTGGTTCATGGATCACTGCCTTGTCGTGGCGAAGGGGCTTGAATAACTCAGAGAAGCTATGAGCTATACCTTGCAGGGCCACCCAAGACGGACAGGTCACAGTGGAGAGTTTTGACTAAACGTGATCCACCTGGAGCAGGAAATGGCAAGCCACTCCAGTATCCCTGACAAGAAAACTCCATGGACAAAGACAACAGGCACATAAAAGTTATGATGCTGGAAGATGAGCCCCTCAGGTCGGAAGGCGTCCAACATGCTACTGAGGAAGAGCGGAGGACAAGTACAAGTAGATTCAGAGCTGATGAAGCGGCTGGGCCAAAGCCGAAAGGACGCTCAGTTGCGGATATGCCTGGAAGCAAAAGGAAAGTCCAATGCTGTAAAGAAAAATATTGCATAGGAACCTGGAATGTAAGAACCATGAACCTTGGTAAGCTGGATATGGTCAAAAATGAGATGGCAAGAATAAATATTGACATCCTGGGCATCAGTCAACTAAAATGGATGGGAATGGGCGAATGTTCAGATGACCATCATATCTACTACTGTGGGGAAGAATCCGGTAAAAGAAATGGAGTCACCCTCATAGTCAACAAAAGAGTGGTGAAAGCTGTACTGGGATGCAATCTCAAAAATGATAGAATGATCTCGATACGAATCCAAGGCAGAACTTTTAACATCACAGTAATCCAAGTTTATGCACCAACTACCGGTGCTGAAGAAACTGAAATTGACCGAGTCTATGAAGACTTACAACACCTTCTAGAAATGACACCAAAGAAGGATGTTCTTCTCATTATATGGGATTAGAATGCTAAAGTAGGGAATCAAGAGATAAAAGGAACAACTGGCAAGTTTGGCCTTGGAGTTCAAAACAAAGCAGGGCAAAGGCTAATAGAGTTCTGCCAAGAGAACAAGCTGGTCATCACAAACACTCTTTTCCAACAACACAAGAGACGATTCTACACTTGGACATCACCAGATGGGCAGCATCGAAATCAGATTGATTATATTCTCTGCAGCCAAAGATGGAGAAGCTCTATACAGTCAGCAAAAACAAGACCTGGAGCGGACTGTGGCTCAGATCATCAGCTTCTTATAGCAAAATTCAAGCTTAAACTGAAGAAAGTAGGAAAAACCACGGGGCCAGTAAGATACAATCTAAATCAAATCCCTTATGAATATACAGTGGAAGTGAGAAACAGGTTTAAGGATTTAGATTTGGTGGACAGAATGCCTGAAGAACTATGGATGGAAGCTCGTAGCATTATACAGGAGGCAGCAACGAAAACCATCTCAATGAAAAGGAAATGTAAGAAAGTGGCTGTCCAGTGAGGCCTTATAAATAGCGGGGGAGAGAAGGCAAGCAAAATGTGAGGGAGATAGTGAAAGATACAGGAAATTGAATGCAGATTTCCAAAAAATAGCAAGGAGAGACAAGAGGGCCTTCTTAAACGAGCAATGCAAAGAAACAGAGGAAAACAACAGAATGGGAAAAACCAGAGATCTGTCCAAGAAAATTGGAGATATGAAAGGAACATTTCGTACAAAGATTACCATAATAAAGGACAAAAGTGGAAAGGACCTAACAGAAGCAGAAGACATCAGGAAGAGGTGGCAAGAATACACAGAGAAATTATACCAGAAAGATATGGATGGCTCGTACACCCCAGGTAGTGTGGTTGCTGACCTTGAGCCAGACATCCTGGAGAGTGAAGTCAAATGGGCCTTAGAAAGCACTGCTAATAACAATGCCAGTGGAAGTGATGACATTCCAGCTGAACTATTTAAAATTTTAAAAGATGATGCTGTTAAGGTGCTACACTCAATATGCCAGCAAATTTGGAAAACTCGGCAGTGGCCAGAGGATTGGAGAAGATCAGTCTACATCCCAATCCCAAAGAAGGGCAGTGCCAAAGAATGCTCCAACTACAGCATAATTGCACTCATTTCACATGCTAGCAAGGTTATGCTTAAAATTCTACAAGGCAGCTTTAAGCTGTATGTAGACTGAGAACTCCCAGAAGTGCAAGCTGGATTTCGAAGGGGCAGAGGAACCAGAGACCAAATTGCAAACATGCGCTGGATTATGGAGAAAGCTAGAGAGTTCCAGAAAAACATCTACTTTTGCTTCATTGGCAAACTATGGCAAGTTCTTAAAGAAATGGGAGTGCCTGATCAACTCATCTGTCTCCTGAGAAATCTCTATGTGGGACAAGAAGCTACAGTTAGAACTGGATATGGAACAACTGATTGGTTCAAAATTGGGAAAGGAGTACGACAAGGCTGTATATTGTCTCCCTGCTTATTTAACATATGCAGAATTCATCATGTGAAAGGCTAGACTGGAATTAAGATTGCCGGAAGAAATATCAACAACCTTATATATGCAGATGACACAACCTGGATGGCAGAAAGTGAGGAGGAATTAAAGAACCTTTTAATGAGGGTGAAAGAGGAGAGCGCAAAATATCGTCTGAAGCTCAACATCAAAAAAACTAAGATCATGGCCACTGGTCCCATCACTTCCTGGCAAATGGAAGGGGAAGAAATGGAGGCAGTGAGAGATTTTACTTTCTTGGGTTCCATGATCACTACAGATGGTGACAGCAGTCACAAAATTAAAAGACGCCTGCTTCTTGGGAGAAAAGCAATGACAAACCTAGACAGCATCTTAAAAAGCAAAGACATCACCTTGTTGACAAAGGTCCGTATAGTTAAAACTATGGTTTTCCCAGTAGTGATGTATGGAAGTGAGAGCTGGACCATAAAGAAGGCTGATCACCGAAGAACTGATGCTTTTGAATTATGGTGCTGGAGGAGACTCTTGAGAGTCCCATGGACTGCAAGAAGATCAAACCTATCCATTCTTAAGGAAATCAGCCCTGAGTGCTCACTGGAAGGACAGATCGTGAAGCTGAGGCTCCAGTACTTTGGCCACCTCATGAGAAGAGAAGACTCCCTGGAGAAGACCCTGATGCTGGGAAAGATGGAGGGCACAAGGAGAAGGGGACGACAGAGGACGAGATGGTTGGACAGTGTTCTTGAAGCTACGAACATGAGTTTGACCAAACTGCGGGAGGCAGTGGAAGACAGGAGTGCCTGGTGTGCTCTGGTCCATGGGGTCACGAAGAGTCGGACACGACTAAACGACTAAACTACAACAGCTTGGTTTGGTGACGTCTGCTTCTAGGATCTCTGGGCTAGCCTCTTGTTCCCTCTTCCAAGCTGTAGCCTTGCGAGGAACAGCACAGATCATGTAAGGATACGGTTGCACAGCTAACCCTCCTCTCACAGCGTTTGTGTTGAACTCCCGCACGCCATCAGGCAGCCGTAACGTGAACGCTTGCAGCAGGTTAGTGAAGAAGAGGAAAATCTCCATCCTCGCCAGATTCTCCCCAAGACAGAGACGCTTCCCTAAGGAAGGAGATACTACCCACTGTAATAACTGGACAGCTTAGGGTGACCAACAACATAAGGTTTTCCAAGAGATTTCGCCCATGTTGTGTTGACGTCTCTAGTCCAGGGATTGGGATACCTCAGGCCTAAGGTATGTGGCCCTTAAGACCTCTCTACCTGGCCCTTGGAGCTCCCCCCAGATCCCATGCCCTCCTGAGTCGCACCATTCAACAACCCTTCTTCATACCCTTCTTGGGTGTTTTTGCCTGGATTTGGGGATACAGAGGGAGTGTGCGTAGAAAACTGTCACAAGGCAACATCTGTATTCGCTGCCCTGCCCACATTTGTGTCTTGCCCAAAAGGAAATGTGCTCCTTGGTTTGAAAAAATGTAGCCCCACCCTTCCTTGCTCTAGCCCAGTGTTTCCCAACACTGGGTCTCCAGCTGCCTTTGGACTACAACTCCCATCATCCCCAGCTAGCAGGACCAGTGGTCAGGGATGATGGGAATTGTAGTCCAAAAACAGCTGGAGACCCAAGGTTGGGAAACCCTGCTCTAGAACCAGCCATTCCAATGCGCTCTGCACTGAATGGCAAGTCACATTTACCTATTGAAAATGGAATGAAGGCGTCTCTGACGAAGAAGTTCCCTTCTTTATCCAGGAAGTGGTTTGGGTTGAACTGGTGAGGCGTCTCCCACTCTTCAGGGTCATATAGCGCAGAGGCTATATCAGGAATAATTACAGTATCCTGCAAAGAGAGACACAAACTGCCTGAGTTTAACCTGGCCTTCGGACCGCTGTATAATGCTGCTTTTGGTACCTTGAGTTGCCAGATAAACAGAAAGGGAGGAGAGCTCTGGTAGGCTGGGACAGCTGGTAGACATACATGGAAGGAATCCTGTAATTCTCCCAAGGCTCAGATTTTGATCCAAGCCAGTGAAGAATCCAGCTCTCATTTAATATGGGCACCTGTGACTCCTGAAATTCATCTCTGAGCCCAACTCAGGAAAACATTATAGGAATGCAGGAAGTCAGACTACTGCACCATTTCTTTCATTATGATTGTTTTGTATGCCTTTAATCGGTATTTTAGGTGGGCTTTGTTATCATTGTACTCAGTGCTATTCTTCTAGAAAAAAAGGTGAAGGAACTCACCATGAATACCTCTCTTGTTCTTGCAATGGCACCCACCTGAGAGGTGCCAGAACTGATTTCCAGCGAGTTCTGGCTGAAAAAAAGAGCCCTGATTGTACTTTGTATTATGATGTATTTGTTAGCAGCCTTGGGATTCATTTGTGAGGAAGTGTGGAGTATAAATAAACCAGGGAGACTTGATCTGCTGGGCACATGCTGCCCATTATCTAGAAGACTCTCATCGGTGTAGCTATTGGCAGGATGTGCACTAAATTTTAATTTTGTTGTTTGGGGGGGGGGAGTTCTGTACCTTTTTCATGGGAAAACCAAAAATAGTTGCATCCTTTGCACATTGCCTGAAATTTCCAACCAAGAGAACGTATTTGTAGCGCTGGATTTCATGAATGACAGCATTGGTGTAGGGCAGGTTCATCCGATCCTCATAGGAGATGCGTTGGGAACGTGTCACGGCAGCATCAATCTCGGCCTGAACTTTCTCTGCGGAATCATGTTCACATTTAGAACCAAAGCAATCTTACTACGATGACCGCACAGCTCTAGAAACCCTACGGCATCCTCAGTCCACAAAGACATTTGTAATTGAGGTGGAAATGAATCCGTAAGGATACGGGTGGGGATGAAATTTTGATTGATTTGCATTAAAATTCCCATTTCGCCCCTTTCAAAACAAGACAAGCACCAAAACACAACTACTCTTCAAAATGTGCCCTTCTCCAAATCATTTGATTTGACCTAATTTAATAATAAAAGTGATTCCTGCATCACAGAGGGTTGGAAGAGAGGCCCTTTGGGTCCCTCCCATCTCTACAATTCTATCATTCTATGGTTTGCATCCCACATTTGCAACAACATTATTGAGTGCAAAGTGGCTCACAACTAACAACAGCATTAAAAATTAACAAACATTACAATCTCTATAATCATATAAAAAACACAACAGTGTATAAATAAGGCAAACAAACAAACAAACAAACAAACAAACAAACAAACAAACAAACAGAAATTCATCAAACAATTAATGCATTCCAACACAAGCTCAGGATTCAAAGTATCAGAAATGGCCGCTGAGCACCAGCCCTGAAAGTCATGCAATTCCCCAATAGAAAATGTGTACAGAAATATGTGTATTAGGGAAAGGTGTGCCTGGCGTGGTTAAAATAACAGGGGAAAATGCTTTATAATATTTAGATATTGCAAAAGTATCTATATTAGGCAAACACTGCATACAAAAATGTGGTTTTGGGGGAAGAAATACGCACTTAAAATGCTGACAGATTTTCATGAGGACTAGGAGCGTGGGGCAGGGAGTGGAATTTGCAAACTGGCGCAGAAATACAGAGACCTGAAGACTGGAAAAAAGAGAGAAACCGTGTATATTTCTCTGAATATACACATTTTGACAGTAATACAATATGGTGACCATGGACACCATATTGAGTTCCAAATCACGGGGGCAGAAAGACATACTGAAAACCGGTGGTGCCATCAGGACAGGACTTTATACCAGAAGATACAATGAGTTGCCCTAGCTGTTACATGTTGATGTGGGTGTACAGAAATGCTTAGGAACTTTTCAAACCAACAATGAATATGTGGGTTTTCTCACACACACCCCACATTAAAAAAACTGTACTTGATTTGGGCCATGGCCCTCTTCCGCTTTTCCGGTGCCCAGATGCTGCACAAACTCCCTCTGGACCGAAACATTTCAAGAGCATTTACATCCCGGCTCTCACCTTGGATGTCTGGATAAACCACCATGAAGAGCAGAGCCCAGCACAAAGTGGATGAACCAGTATCTGTCCCGGCTGTGAAGAGGTCGTAAATGACATGAACCAAGTTGGCTTCATCAAAGGTCGATTCGGGGTCATCCTTCTTCTGTTGTCGACAATGAATATATATTGATTTATTGCGCGGATATCCCATCTTTGTTCTCCAAGCAGCTCAAGGGGGGTGGTGTACATGGTTCTCCCCCACCCTCATTTAATCCCCACAACACCCCTGTGAGGTAGGCTAGGCTGTGAGGGGCAGTGGCTGGGCCATGGTCACTGGGGTGAGCTGAGTGGGGATTCGAATCCTGGTCTCCCAGGTAGTAGTCCAACACTAGACAAATTCATTGTTTTATTCCTTTTGTAAACTGCTTTGAGGTTTTTTTTTTGGTTTTTTCTCTCTTTTTTAAACTATCAAGCAGTATATAAATCTTATGAAATAAATAAACCCACAAGCTGATGCAGAAACGTGGCAAACTGGACTTGAGGCTAAGAAAGAAGAAGAGAAAACCAAAACTGGCAGACTCATACATCCATTGCAACAACCTACAGAGAATGGTGTTCCTTCGGGGTCTTTGAAGAGCAAATTGTCCCCATTCCTACAGCCACTTACTTTATTTATTTCATCCAGATAGAAGTCAATGAAATCCCGCGGTTCATCTGTTTCCCTGTTCTCCTTGTGCCTTCTGATCTCACTCCTTCCAAATGAATGGATATGCTCCAAGCATGAGAAGGCCTTCTGGTGGGGTCCTGGGAGGTGGCGCATCAGCCACGGAAACAATTCGTACAACTGGAGGGGGGTGGGAGAGAGAGAACGTAAGGAGAGTCCTGAATCTTGATCAGGCCAATGGCCCGTCCAGTCCAGCATCCTGTTCTCACAGTGGCCAACCAGATGCCTCAATGGGCATCTTTTTCTTCAAGGGGCTCAAGGCAGTTGACATGGTTCCCTCCTCATTTACCATATTTTTCGCTCTATAAGATGCACCCGACCATAAGATGCACCTAGTTTTTAGAGGAGGGAAACAAGAAAAAAAAAAATTCTGAATCGAATGTTGTTGAAGAGGAAGGAGGAGAGAGGATCAGGCTAAGGCATCACAATAAGAGGCGCTGCACAGCTCTCCCTCTTGCTGTGCTGGCTTCAGCAGAGCAGCGCAAAGCCTCTTCAGCGAAGCAGGTGGAACGCTCCTGCTTCGCTGAAGAGGCTTTGAGCAGCTATCCCTGAAGCCAACACAGCAAGAGGGAGAGCTGCGCAGCGCCTCTTGGTCTGCTGGCTTCCCAGCAAAGCAGGATGAGGGACGGAAGAGCCTCCATAAGGGCTCCCTTTTGTTCCTTCTCCCGCTTCGCTGGGAAGCCAGCAGAACAAGAGCGCTTGCTCTTGCTCTGCTGGCTTCAGCGATAGCTGCGCAGCCTGCATTTGCTCCATAAGACGCACACACATTTCCTCTTACTTTTTAGGAGGAAAAAAGTGCATCTTATAGAGCAAAAAATACGGTAATCCCTACAATAGCCCCGGTCTTAGTCTGACACTCTGAGCACGGCTCCACATTGGCTCAGGTGTCCCACTGGGGTGAGCTGAGTGGGGATTCGAATCCTGGTCTCCCAGGTCTCCTGAGTGGGGATTCGAATCCTGCTTATGTCTCTTCGTTGGATTGCTGACACCAAGTAGGCCTGAGGTGTCCCATCAAGCTTTCACAAATGGAATCAACTTTTCTCCAGCACATTCTCTCTGGCAACTGGTATCTCCCTCAAACGGAAGAAGGATCAGGCCAGGCAAGAGGAGGCATGAAAGTGCCTTGCAAAACTGGTAAGATTGTGTGTGTGGTGTGTGTCTGGGTTCCCCCAGCTATTCTGGGTGGCTCCCAACAGATTAAAAGCAGAATAAAACATCAAACATTACAAACTTCCCTAAACAGGGCTGCCTACAGATGTCTTCTAAAAGTCAGATAGTTGCTTATTGCCTTGACATCTTATGGGAGGGCATTCCACAGGGCAGGTGCCACCACCGAGAAGGCCCTCTGCCTGGTTTCCTGTAACCTCACATCTTGCAGTGTGGGAACCGCCAGAAGGCCCTCGGAGCTGGACCTCAGTGTCTGGGCTGGGTGATGGGGGTGGAGACGTTCCTTCGGGTATAAATACACACTAGAGGCTGCTCCCCGCCACTTGCATTGCTCAGCAACCCCACTTACCTGCAACCCTCTCCCTTTAAACATCATCCTAACCCCTGTCCCCTCACAGCTTATCAGCTGCTGTGCAAACTGCAGGATGATGACATTTTGTCTTGCAATAATATAATATAGCAAAATAGCAAAGTCGCTCACCAAATGAAATGTGGAGAGGAAAAAATGTGCTTCGTACTCAATGCATTCTATCAGCTTCTGATACACTTTGTCTTCAATGTCGAAAGGGTGTCCAAAAATTACGTTGGAGATCACACTACAGAAGGCATGGAAGAGGGGGGTTCTAGGGTCTACAGATTTGCCTAGAAAAATACAGGTGTCCTCTGTCACAATGAACGCTCTGAGCAGTGTTGAATGTGTGTTGGGAAGGTCACACACAGTTTATCTGCATAATCGTTCAGCTCCTGCTCCCTTCTAAGAACAACTTGTTTGTTTTGCTCTTCTTTTAACCATATTGCTCCTTTAGGCCTTCTGATCACAGGGGGAAAGGAATCCACCGCAAGGGGCCAACTTTGACAAGTGGGCAGGGCAACCTACCTGCCAATCACCTGACATCATTGTGGCACCAAGTGGACACACAGCAGATAGAAACAGACTGCACACCGCCTGTGACCTGATTGTTTGCTTCTCCATGCAGCCACTCCTGGGCCTTTATTCTGACCCAGCAAAACTGTTCACATTCCCAGGTTAACACCAGTCCTCATGGATGCATAGCCTGATGCAGCCTTCAACCTGGTTCCCTCCAGATGTTTTGTACAACAATACCCATCAGACCATGTCAGTGTAGACAAGAGCTGTTTGGCAGTGGAGCAGACTCCCTGGGCAGCTGGAGTCAGCAATAACTCACACGGCATCAGCAAGGTTAACTCTTTATTCAAAAAAACACAGACAACTCAGGAGGCCAGGCCTAGCACAGCAACGCTTCCTGGTAGGATTTGCCGCTATGAGGTAGTTTCAAGGACTAAAAGTCCCCGGTTTCCCACAGCTCCCTAAGTCTCCTCCTTCTCCAGTTCCATCCCAAGCAATCTGAGGCTCCATCATCTTGCCTGTCTTCACTCATCCCTCTTCATGTTCTGGGAGACCAGCGGGGAGGGGAACTGGTCACAGCAGGAAGAAGAGTCCTCCTGGCTTCTGCAGCACCAGCCTCATCTCTGCCTCTTGCCCTCTCTCTTTGCTAGCCTCTGCTTCTGCTTCTGCTTCTGCCTCTGCTTCTGGATTGCTCTCTGCCTCAGCCTCTTCCTGATCACTAAACCCTGTTGCCTCTTCGGCTACCAACACCTCCTCTTCCCAATCTTCTCCCACTGACCACTCATCACCATCCCACCACCACTCCCTGGGCTCTGAGCCTTCTTCCCTTGGGAGTTCCCCAGCTGGTGCCTCCCATCAGTCCTCCGCATCCCACCAGTCCATGACAGATGGCCATACGTCAAGGATTCTTTAGCTGTGATTCCTGCATTGCAGGGGGCTGGACTAGATGACCCTTGAGATCCCTTACAAGTCTATGATTCTATGAATGATGGGCATTGCAGTCCAAAATCTAAATCCTTCAAAGACAGAGGTCCTCTAGCTGGGCCAGGATGATATGGGGATGAAGGACTAAATCCCTTCTCTTGTGGGAGCCCAATTAGTGCCATTGCCTTCCGTTAAGAGTTTGGGTGTAATCCTTGATGCCTCCCTTTCCATGGAGGCACAGGTTACAGCAACAGCCAAGGCGACATTTTTCCACCTTTGCCACATTAAGCCATTGGTCCCTTACCTTTCCCGCCACGACCTGGCCACAGTGATCCATGCAATAGTCACCTCCAGGCTTGACTACTGTAATTCGCTCTACGTGGGGCTGCCCTTGAAGCTGTCCCAGAAACTCCAGAGGGTGCAGAATGCTGCAGCGAGGCTCCTCACAGGGTCTTTGCCATGGGAGCATATTCACTCTTCCAGCTGCACTGGCTCCCGGTGGAGTACAGGGTCAGATTTAAGGTGATGGTTTTGACCTTTAAAGCCCTTCACAGCCTAGGACCCTCGTACCTACGGGACCACCTCTCCTGGTATGCCCCATGGAGGGCCTTAAGGTCCATAAATAGCAACACCCTAGAGGTCCTGGGCCCTAAGAAAGTCAGATTAGCCTCGACCAGAGCCAGGGCCTTCTCAACACTGGCTCCGGCCTGGTGGAACGCTCTGTCTTATGAGACCAGGGCCCTGCAGGATCTGATTTTTTTCCGCAGGGCCTGTAAGACAGAGTTGTTCCGCATGGCCTTTGGCTTGGAATCAATTTGATTCCTTCCCCCTCTTTCTTTTTTCCTTTCTCCTCCTGTGATGAGGCTGCATTTTAACGTTTTAATGTTGTATTTTAATCCTGTTTTTTAAGTTGTATTTCAATCAACTTGTTTTTATTATTGGTTGTTAGCCGCCCTGAGACTGGTCTTGGCTGAGGAGGGCGGGGTATAAATAAAATTTATTATTATTATTCTTAAAACATCTGGAGGGCACCTGGTTGGTGGTGGCTGATCTGGTTCATTCCTGGTGTCAGGAAAAGTGCCTTAGAATCAATGATATTCCTGACCTCTCTTGCTTGCGAAGAACTCCACCATGTGGCCAGCCTCCTCTTGCACACAGAACTCCATGCTTCTTCTTCCAAGGCCCAGCGATCGGAGCACAGATATCCCAAAACGCCGCTGCTCCTTCCAGGTGTGGCCACTTGAAAACAGGATACCTAAGGGCAGCAAGATATTATTGTTCAGAAATGAATTTTGCAAGCCAACCATCTGTATAAAACATGGCCAAGAGACAGCCGCTCGACTGCTGTGCTTTATTCCAATGCACCGTCCGCACCCTCTCTGCTGCCACCTGCTGGAGTTCCCTCTTGCAATGCACCCCCAGCTCTGAAATTCTAAGTCTACGAGTACCTTGCTCATTGGTTGCACCCCTGAACTGACTGTGAGTAAGGCCTAAGGGCATAAACTTCCTTTGGAATAGGTGGATATTGGGAGAAGGTGGGACATTGCATCTGGAGCGGCACAACCCGGCACCTTCATCTGCCCCAGCTGCAACAAAACATGTTTCTCCCACATCGGTCTCTACGGCCACAGCAGGCGCTGCAGCCTTCCAACAGCTTGACCTCACCCACAAGGCGCACTCCTCCATTGTTTCTCGAGATAGACAGATGCCAGCACTGCTCCCTGTAAGTTTACTAATATGCCGGTTTTCTGCAACAAGCTGTGTCAAATGTGGCTTGCAGCAAACATTCAAAATGCCGAAATACAAATATACGAAATACAGAGCATGTCAGTAAATTCAAAAATGACAAAAGCCAACAATTTAACAAACACAAAATAAATTCTTTTTTTTTTTAAATCAAGGTTTAAGCACATAAATACAAAGCAAAACAAAGGTTAACTAACAATAAAGTTTCTGATTCTCTTTCCCCCCCTCCTGTTTTATTAAATTTGCTTAGTAACATAACATTATTATATATATTCTATAAAACAAAGAATACAGAACAAAATTCATTCATACTACAATGCCTAACTACATAAGATTAATCTATATGGTTTCTGGAAAAAAAGGCTTACATAACAAAATCAATTCAAAATACCATCCGATTTCTTAAACCAGTAGTTCCCAAAGTTGGAACACTAAGAGGCTAGAGGGCGGCAGCTGTGCACTGAAGATGTAAATGACTACCAGGCTTTGAGAAGCTGGCATCACTGGATCAATTTCATTGAATCAATTAAACTAGTTTTAATTGAATTTTATTGTGTTCATATCTTTCTTATTGGGTTACGGAAAGCACTGTTCTGAGGCTCCAATACTTTGGCCACCTCATGAGAAGAGAAGACTCCCTGGAAAAGACCCTGATGTTGGGAAGATGGAGGGCACAAGGAGAAGGGGACGACAGAGGACGAGATGGTGGGACAGTGTTCTCAAAGCTACCAGCATGAGTTTGACCAAACTGCGGGAGAGGCAGTGGAAGACAGGAGTGCCTGGCGTGCTCTGGTCCAGGGGGTCACGAAGAGTCAGACACGACTAAAGGACTAAACAACAACAACAACATTGAGGTGGGGGCAGTGGGAATGATTTTATGGGTTACACTTACCCTTTGCTTTCATTGTGTCTCTGACAAAGGGCGTTACTACACGACATGAGGTTTCTTCCGCGTAGTTGCTGAGCACTTGCTTCACCAAATGAAAGCCATTCACAACAATCATCGGCTTGTGCCCAACCCAGATGGTGAAGACCTTCCCGTAAACCTTGGACAGCTGTGTCATTTTAAAATTAAAAAGGCATATATGAGAACAAGAGAGGCATTCGTGGTGAGTTCCTGCACTTCTTTTTGTAGAAAAATAGCACCAGGGACACTAGTCGTCTATATTATTTATATGTACTGTCCACCAAAATGTGATTCATCATTTCTCCCCTATTCTGTTGTATTGTTTTCTACACTATGTGCAAAATTCAGTATTTTAAACAATAAAATTAAAAAGCATAACTGTATGAGCATAATTAGTGCAGGCCATTGGGTTCAAATAAACATAGCCAACCACCTGCAATGAGTCCCTTCCAGTTGTGCACAGCTGAAAACTTTCTCTGCAACATGTCCCAACTAACCCCATGCTTTAGAAAAGTCCATGACTGGTGTGATTTGAGAAACAGGTGCAGTTAAAGCAACAAACTGGGTTTACAGCATGCTACATTGAATTGCAGGACGCGGTTGGCGCTGTGGTCTAAACCACAGAGCCTAGGTCTTGCTGATCAGAAGGTCGGCAGTTTGAATCCCTGCGACGGGGTGAGCTCCCGTTGCTCGGTCCCTGCTCCTGCCCACCTAGCTGTTCAAAAGCATGTCAAAGTGGAACTAGATAAGTAGGTACCACTCCGTACCTTTACATTGCTCTGCATCATTCACCACCTCCAACATTTCCCACTCCAGGTTGTTTAATTATCCAAAGGCCTGGGGTATTGTCTAACCCACCTAAGAGTAAATGACCCATAAAAAGGGTTGTCCGGAAGCATCCCGTCATACATTTTTAAAAGCCATTTTAAAGTGTTGAGCTTTACACACACACAAAAGGAGACATATATTGAGCAATACAGAAACGGAGGTCCACGCACAAGACAAAGGACAGATTGTGGAGGATTCTGCAGCCCAAGGATTCCTTTGTTGTCCACATTTGATCATTATTTAGCTGTAAATTCATGTCCCCCCATTTGAATTTGGCTGAGACACATCCACTTGTATCTGGTGGCAGGGAGTAGGTGTGGAAAACCAGAATAGGGCAAGGCTACCTCTTATTCTGAATTGTTTCATTACACCGAACTTCACATTGTAGGGGGTTGGTTTCCAACTCAACTGCTCTATGATTCTCTGTGACCACCCAGTCAAACTGCCAATTGTTGGGTAAACATCTTCTCTACTTCATTACTAACTTATTTAGTGCATGTACTAGTGCAGCAGATCCCACTGCTACCACCAAAATGTAGTGGATCTCACTGCTGTATACCAATATGTAGCGGATCCCTCCCACATACACACTCCATATGTATTTTTCAACCACCACAGGTTATGTTTTGGTTTTCTGTGAGGGGAAAATTTGATACTGGGAGACTCAGGCAGAAGTTGAACAAGCAATAAAGATTTATTTAACAGAATGAAGTGGATAAAAAAAAAGGATGTATCGGGAGATAATGCCTTTTCAGGAAACAGTTAACCTATTATTAATTATACTAAATCTAATGGATGTTACAGGCTTCTAATCAAGCACAGCTTCTTTTAAACTTCAGTTGTTTATGTTCCGCTATTACGCTTCAGGCAGATGTCAAAAGTTTCTAGACTAGATGGCAAATGCTCAGCTAATTTCCAGTTACTTCACTTCAGTTTCATAACTCAGTTGCTGCATAGGGTGTTATAGCTTAATACTTTGGTTCCTTAACCATATAATTAGGAAATCTTTAATGAGAGTTTGGGAGAGATACAGAGATCCAATGGAATTTCATGAGATTTTTATTTTTTAAAAAAATAGAAAAAATGCTGGAAAATGTGGACAGCTGATCTTAAGATGGGAAACATGAGGAACTGGGAGAAACTGAAACAGATTGACCCATTCCCTACTATTTATTTGGAGGAGGGTGGGCAGAATTATAACATGCATTGAAACATGAGTTGGAGGGGACAAGAATGCACATGCCAGGCCACAGGAGCCAACTCCTAGGGGTATAGGTCCCTTCAGCCTCCCCAATAAAATATTTGAGGGGGCCAGGTCCCCCCCCAAAGTTGACGGACAGTGCCATTTAAATGATGTGTGTCTTGTGATTGATTATGCGGGATGTGGCTTACCCTCAATGTTTTACTCAAGTTGGCACCCCTGTGTCAGGCAGAGTGAAGAGGGAGAGAGAGAGGAGGGGAGGTATTGGAAGGCACAGCAATAAGCAGTTTGCCTTGTGCCCCATAAGTCAGCCTGTGGCCTTCAGGGGTGGTGAAGGACCCCACCTCACATGCCACCAGTAGCCTTCAGGAAACTGGGTCGGTGTCTGAAGCAACAAATAGAGGCCCTTCCTCTGTGACCCAAGGGATCCTGCATTCCCCAGTAGAGCAGATGCTGGGAAGTCCTGCTGCTACACCCTCGTATTAGGAGACAACCCTTAATATGCAAAAAAGGATACCTTGGAGAGGGTGTCTTGATGCCATCCAGAGCCAAAGCACCACAGGGTCCCCAGGAGAGGTAGCGGAAGTGGTCCAGGTGGGAAGTGGCGCCTTGCCCACTGCAGCTTCAAGAACTGCAGACTCAGGAGAGACACCGCCAGAACTGCAAGGCAGCTGCTGATCTCCATTGCCACCTTAGGTTTAAGCCTCAGCTCTGCTCTGGGATGTCTGAGGCAGGTTGGGTTGCTTTTCATATTCTTCCTACAAAGAAGGCGTTACAGCTTTGCCTCCAGCATTTGTATATTTGTCAATAGTGACAATTACCAAACCTCAAAGGTGTTTCAGACAAGGACTTCAAGTGCTGGTAAATCAAGTACATCAAGTACATTGCAGGAACATTCCAGGAATAGGTCCAAGCGCTAATGAAAAGGACAGAAACATTACTGAATAATGACAAAAGAGATATAATACTTTTACAGCAAACGCATCAGATGAAAGAGGTGGTTAATGAACTCAAACTGAGAGGTATAAATAGTTATGAGAACACATATGGAATGTCAAAATCCAAAGGGATAGCAACTGCAGTGGAACCTCGAGTTGCGGGTGTAATCTCTCCTGGAGGCACGTCCGCAACTTGAAGTGTTCTTGAAGTGTTCACTTACCTGCAAATGTTGAGCTGGCATGGATAGCGCAAAGGGGGATGCGCTGGAATGAATTCAAGCCAGCCGTGATGGCGAGAGCAGCCTCTGAAGGCCCACCTGATGCCCTGGTTATCCAGCTGGGGGAGAACGACCTAGCGTACCGCAAAGCTATAGACTTGAGATGGAACATTTTTGACGATTTTGCTGATCTGATGGCGGCTTATCCAAACATTACCATCTTGTGGTCCTCGTTGCTCGAGAGGAGGACATGGAGGGATAGTTTGAGCCCGGTTGGAATCAATAAAGCAAGAAAGGTCTTGGAGCGGGCTGTGGCACGTAGAGTGGCGGCTCAGGGTGGGTGCGTCATAGGCCACCCAGGCATCCAGTACAGCAACGAAGCCCTCTACAGATTGGATGGCGTGCATCTGTCAGATGCTGGAAATGATATCTGGTTGGGGGACATCATAGCAGGGATTAGGAGTTGGTTACAGGTTTGAAGGTATTGGCGGCGACCTTTGCTCGATTGGCGGCCAGGCATTGGCAGGGGTAATTGTTATGCAAATGAAGGGGGGAAGGAAGCGCCATCACCTTCCCCCAAGGAAAAGGGTAGTCCGGTAGAGGACTCCGGGGGGTGCTGCCTTGTCCGAAACCTAGGGAGGTAAGGGCCTCCGGCACGCCCCCGAGCGGTGACACCCATGGGATCCTAGTTGGCATACTTCAACAGGACTCCCACGGCTTGTGGATAACCCTTCCCGGTCTCCATGCCGGGTAGTCGATAGGAGCCAATGCCTAAGGCCAATACCTTTCAATTCCTGTAATCAATAAAGTTGTGGCCTTTTATGCCCATTAACCTTAAATAATGTGTCCGGTGTCTTCATTTCACATGGGGGGAGGGGATTTGCCACGCAACGCATATGGTATGTCAAAATCCAGAGGGATAGCAACTACAGTGGAACCTCGAGTTGCGGGTGTAATCTCTCCCGGAGGCACGTCCGCAACTTGAAGTGTTCGCATCCAGAAGTGCCGTGTCTGCGCATGCGCGTGGTGCAATTTAGCGCTTCTGCGCAAGCGGTGAAACCCAGAAGTAACCATTCTGGTACTTCTGGGTTGCCGTGGGACACAACTTGAAAAGACGTTACCTGAAGTCGACGCAACATGAGGTATGACTGTATAATTTCAAAGAGATGCGGATTTAGATTATTAAAGATAATAATAATAATAATAATAATAATAATAATAATAATAATAATAATAATTTATACCCCGCCCATCTCTGGACGGCTTCCCAAAAAATATTAAAATACTGTAATACATTAAACATTAAAAGCTTCCCTAAACAGGGCTGCCTTCAGATGTCTTCTAAAAGTCTGGTAGTTGTTGTTCTCTTTGACATCTGGTGGGAGGAGGTTCCACAGGGAGGGCGCCACTACCGAGAAGGCCCTCTGCCTGGTTCAATATTATATGATGATGATAATGATGATGATGATTTATACCCCACCCATCTGGCTGGGTTTCCCCAGAAAAACAACTTTACGTTATAAAAATAAGGTGGGTTCTAAAAATATACGCATCTCACGTGTCAAAAACCAGGGTAAAGAGGTGGGAGGGAGTTCTACAACTTAGGGGCCGCTACAAGTAATGCCTTTCCTGGGCTGCCACCACCCCAAGCTTCTGAGGGCAGTGGAACAACCCATTTTTGTGGTTAGTAAACCCAGTTTTGTACTTTGTATACACCAGGTGGCAGCTTGCCTTCTTCAATATTCATCGAGTAAATTATTTGCTCCTTCTTGCTACTCCTGCTATTTTCAAAAGGACTATTTCCAGAAGGAAATAGAAAATTGTGAAGAAGATTTTATGTGTAGGCTAGTACAGGACACCTGTGGTGACCTCATTACGGCCAGCTTGATCAGTTATTTAGTTTCTTATCTGATCTATAGGAGCAGGTCAGGTCATCCGTAACATCAACAGCTTTTCCATCAACAGGAAATTAACGAGTTTAAAACCACAGTGGCTATGCGTTCATTTCCTGTTTATAGTGTGCCTGCAATCCTTAGAATCTTGTAGCACTCACAGAGACTGGGGTGGCATATAACAGCTCATCCTTTATTAATAATACACTCACAGCTCAGAACATAGATCTGACCAAATAGTTTATTCAGCTAATCCCTTGCCGTCTCTGAAACACACAGGAGAACTGCAAGAAATCGGTCCCGGATATTTGTGCACAAGCAATGAATAAGGAACAATGAATATTTGCTAGGCTGGTGGTAACTCAATAATAATAATAATAATAATAATAATAATAATAATAATAATAATAATTTATTATTAATACCCCGCCCATCTGGCTGAGTTTCCCCAACCACTCTGGGCGGCTCCCAATCAAGTATTAAAAACAATACAGCATTAAATATTAAAAACTTCCCTGAATAGGGCTGCCTTCAGATGTCTTTTAAAGATAGGATAGCTACTTATTTCCTTCACATCTGAAGGGAGGGTGTTCCACAGGGTGGGTGCCACTACTGAGAAGGCCCTCTGTCTGGTTCCCTGTAACCTTACTTCTCACAATGAGGGAACCGCCAGAAGGCCCTCGGCGCTGGATGTCAGTGTCCGGGCTGAACGATGGGGGTGGAGACGGTCCTTCAGGTATACAGGACCAAGGCCGTTTAGGGCTTTAAAGGTCAGCACCAACACTTTGAATGGTGCTCGGAAATGTACTGGGAGCCAATGCGGATCTCTCAGAACTGGTGCTATGTGGTCCTGGCGGCCACTCCCAGTCACCAGTCTAGCTGCCGCATTCTGGATTAATTGCAGTTTCCGGGTCACCTTCAGAGGTAGCCCCACGTAGAGCGCGTTGCAGTAGTCCAAGCGGGAGATAACTAGAGCATGCACCACTCTGGTGAGACAGTCCGCAGGCAGATAGGGTCTTAGCCTGCGTACTAGGTAGAGCTGGTAAACAGCTGCCCTGGACACAGATTTAACCTGCACCTCCATGGACAGCTGTGCAGAGAGATTTGATTTTCTTGAAAAGAGAATGTTTTGAACAAAGTAATAAAAATTCCAAATTGCTGGCTAGAGCTGTATAGTAAAAAAAAAGTAAAGAATTCAATTAGCCTAATAATGATGTGATTTACTGCTGGTTCACCTTAGAGCAGGGGTTGGGCCACAAGCAGCCCATGGGGGTCGTTTAAAGGGCCCACGAGCCGCCCCCGAACCAAGCGGCCTGCTCGGTGAGTCCCCGCGTGTTGTGCTAAACCGGTGCAGCACGGAGCGGGGACTTGCTTCTGCGGCGCCAGAAATTGCTTCTCCATAGATGCTGAAAATCGCATCTCCACAGACGCGATCCAACCCACGGAGTGATCTCCGCGGGAGTGAACTGGCCCAGGCAAGGAAAACCTTCCCGACCGCAGCCTTAGACAGTATGTGGGAGGTTTCGCAACCGCAGCCACAACAATTAGTCCTATAATGCACAATAATCATGCAGGTTATGTTCGTTGAGAAATCTAGGAAAGTTGAAAAACAAATGTCTTGCACACTTTGTCATGTAACAGCATTAAATTCTTCCAAGAATTTAAAGCTGGTTACTGAAAAATTGCACAAGAGATATATAAGAGAAATCTTTTTAGTTGCGATAGCTGCTGCCCAGTTACTAATTGCATCGAATTGGAAAGGGGGAAACAGTAAGGGAATGGCGGAAGAAGTTACTAGACTGTGGAGAAATGGCTCAATTGACAAATAGGTTAAGGGTAAATACAAAACAATCATTTACTCAAAAATGGGATATGTTCAAGAAATACCTACAAAAATATAATAGCAATAAAACATCTATGGCAGCTTCTGAATGACCCTTGTATAAATTGAATATTAATAAATAAGGAAAAATGCTATGATGTGTTTTAAGAAAGTATTAGAAAATATATTAAGAGTAAGGTAATAAGTCTAAGTTCATTCAATATTGTAAATGTTAAGTACATTGGAAAATTACGGGAAGTCATAGTTTAGTTTATTTGATTCTACTTTGGTTTATTTTTGTTTAGTTAGAAAATATAAGAAAAGATCACATATATGTTTAAATTAATATTTAATGGTAAAAACATTTAAGGTTGTTATTATTATTATCACTATTACCCTTTACATGTAGATAGGATTGTGTAGGGTCCATGGATTTCAATAATAATAATAAATTCATGAGAGAACAAGGGTGGACAATAAAGAATGGGAACAGGGTGGAGGGAATCAAATCAATCTTACTCAATGTTGAAATGGGAATCAAAGGAATGGCTTGTGCAACCTTGTCTTGCACACCAGTGTCATGCAAAACAGCCTTATCTAACTTGGTGCCCTCCAGGTGTTTACAGAAAGTCCCACCAGCCCCAGCCAGAGGAGAAGCCAATGGGAGTGAGACCCTCCAGCAGATCACCATCAGCCCCAGCCTGACACACTTTGAGAGCCTCTAAAGTATGGGGATCTGGGACTTCCGCTTGAGGCGCCATGGAAGATGGCTGAAAACTCCATCGCTCCAGCTCCCATGGGGTACCTAGAGGCTG